TGTTTTAATCTATCTGGGAATGCTATGTTAAGCTACCAATATCTGAATTTTCGGGCATATTTTTTTATTTCCTGACTCATACTAGACAAAACTATCACAATAGCTGATGATAAATTAATTTAAAGGTTTTGTGATGGTGACATAATAAAACTCTTAGAAGCAGACGTCTGACTGAAAAGTGGAATATTACAAATCGATGATATCAATGTCCTTGATACATATAAACATATAAAAAGTTTAGATATCGGTAACTGAAATTATCTGAAAAGGCTACTACAAACTGTCATATATTGATCATGGCCACTATCTTTATATATATTGATCATGGCCACTATCTTTATATATATTGATCATGGCCGCTATCTTTATATATATTGATCATGGCCACTATCTTTATATATATTGATCATGGCCACTATCTTTATATATATTGATCATGGCCACTATCTTTATATATGTTGATCATGGCCACTATCTTTATATATATTGATCATGGCCACTATCTTTATATATATTGATCATGGCCACTATCTTTATATTTGTTGATCATGGCCACTATCTTTATATATATTGATCATGGCCACTATCTTTATATATATTGATCATGGCCACTATCTTTATATATATTGATCATGGCCACTATCTTTATATATATTGATATATATATTGATCACGGCCACTATCTTTATATATGTTGATCATGGCCACTATCTTTATATATATTGATCATGGCCACTGTCTTTATATATATTGATCATGGCCACTATCTTTATATATATTGATCATGGCCACTATCTTTATATATTGATCATGGCCACTATCTTTATATATATTGATCATGGCCACTATCTTTATATATATTGATCATGGCCACTATCTTTATATATATTGATCATGGCCACTATCTTTATATATATTGATCATGGCCACTATCTTTATATATATTGATCATGGCCACTATCTTTATATATATTGATCATGGCCACTATCTTTATATATATTGATCACGGCCACTATCTTTATATATATTGATCACGGCCACTATCTTTATATATATTGATCATGGCCACTATCTTTATATATATTGATCATGGCCACTATCTTTATATATATTGATCATGGCCACTATCTTTATATATATTGATCATGGCCACTATCTTTATATATATTGATCATGGCCACTATCTTTATATATGTTGATCATGGCCACTATCTTTATATATATTGATCATGGCCACTATCTTTATATATATTGATCATGGCCACTATCTTTATATTTGTTGATCATGGCCACTATCTTTATATATGTTGATCATGGCCACTATCTTTATATATATTGATCATGGCCACTATCTTTATATATGTTGATCATGGCCACTATCTTTATATATGTTGATCATGGCCACTATCTTTATATTTGTTGATCATGGCCACTATCTTTATATATGTTGATCATGGCCACTATCTTTATATTTGTTGATCATGGCCACTATCTTTATATATGTTGATCATGGCCACTATCTTTATATATGTTGATCATGGCCACTATCTTTATATATGTTGATCATGGCCACTATCTTTATATATATATTGATCATGGCCACTATCTTTATATATGTTGATCATGGCCACTATCTTTATATATATTGATATATAATTGATCATGGCCACTATCTTTATATATATTGATATATAATTGATCATGGCCACTATCTTTATATATATTGATCATGGCCACTATCTTTATATATATTGATCATGGCCACTATCTTTATATATATTGATCATGGTCACTATCTTTATATAATTGATCATGGCCACTATCTTTATATATATTTATATATATTCCACCTGTATTTATTTCCTGTTTAGATTTGAAGGACATATTTTCCTGTTGTTGATGCTGATAACCTTTAATATATTATCTTACAGTAGGAGTATACACAGATTTACCTTGTTTCATGTTCAAACTTTTATATATATTATTGTCTAAAAGCAAAACTATATCTTATAGTAAAAAGGTGACAACATTGCATCCATTTCCGAGGTTCCACATAGCTAATAAATTTTACTAGATATTTGAATTTGTGGGTTTGTTAACTGAAATCCCTTTCAGAGAGTCCACATAGCTAATAATGTTGATTTGGTACTTTGGCTTATCAACTTGGCATTCCTTTCAGAGTGTCCTCATGGTTACTGGGTATCTAGGTTTGTGAAAACAGCACCCCTTTAGAGAGTTCATAAAGCTAATAAGTTTTATTTAGTATTTTCATTGACATGCAAATGTTTTCAAATTATTCAATGCCACCTTCATCCACCGGTCTACCCCCTGTTATTAATGCAGGTAAGAGGGGCTAACATGGAAAAAGCGTTTAGTGGTTTGGATGGGACAATAAACCGAGACCCGTGTGCTACAGGCTGTGCACGTTAAAGATCCCTCAACAGTTGGAAATCGAAAAAGAGGAGGATAATGTGGCTATCTTGACAAAATTTCCCTCATTGTACATGGTGCAGAAAAGTAGGACGTATTGCTCCATTCATTTTCATTTCATTTTCACTTTTATCTACTATGTGTTTATTACCATGGCAACCAATATGTTTAAAAGAGCCAATATTGATCTGAAAAGACCTTTTTTGAAATTGATAGCTTTTTTCTTGAATTCATGTAAATCTTAGTAAGCCAGACCTAAAATAACAAAATTAATCTCTAACTGAAGCCATCTTTTTCTCTAATAAAGGAGGTTGATTTGTGCAAAGCTTTGAATTTCTGATCTTGATTTTTTTCGTCAGTGATATATATCTCATGGTATTTAAAAGAAATCACCTATTCCCTGACCACTTGGAGCTCAGAAATGAATTTTTCTCTCATTTCACAAATATTCACTATAAAATTGAAAATTGCATGTTATTATATGTTTACAAATGTCCATCCTAGCATCCATTGAAAAGTAAATTATTTTTGATTGTTTCATTTCACTAAAATGTTCAATTGCATGTCATATGTCTGTGTTTTGGTCCAAAGAAATAAAATGTCTGATGATTTCACTCTTTTACTTCTGAAACTTTGCTATTCACCCATTTCAGATGGGGTCAATTTATGTTTTTTATTGTCCAAAGACATACAACCTTATGATTTCACATTTGAAATGAATACATGTCTTTATGTAATTCTGAAGCTTTGTCCTGACTTTCTAAACAGTACAGTTGGACAGGTCAAATTGTCAGTAGGCTGTTATTTTAGTCCTCAACTCCTACAGTTCTATCATGAATTGTGTCAGCTTGGTATTAGGTGAAGGTTTTCAGAAAAGCAAAGATATTTATGCATATCGAGCATAATTCAAAACAAGTGAAGTCTATTTTGTTTGGAGGTAGAATAAGTAGTGATAAGCACTGTATAAACCTGACTTATATTATGTTAATACATACTTATCCTACCTAAATAATAAAGTTGACTGTTTGTGTGTATGTTTGCAATGTGCCAGGATAGACATAAATATCTGTATTGGACTATCTTTTATTGTTTGACTTTCTATCCTGTTTTGGGCAGGTCTAACTGTCAAGGTTATACAAAGTTGTGTTTGTTTGGGGAAAAAGAGATTGTGGATTGATTGGAACCATAATACCTCATGTCATGTAAACACACATAGAAGGTGAAGGTTGTTTCTGGTTGCCTGGTTGATAATGGGATATCGTCTGGTAAACACTGTTCTAAATGTTCCCATCTGCTACTTGGACTGTTTGCTAATTTCCTCTCAATTTTTATCGTGTTGAAGTGACTTTTTATTTTGTCACAAGTTATAAAACTTGCAATATACTATAGCTTTAACTACCAGTATTTTTTATCTTATCAATTTATACCGTAAAATTATATTAGCTCAAGTTATGTTCCATAGTAAGAGCTACTTCTCAAGCCACTGTGTTATATCCTCATATGTGTTATTTTGCGACCAGAGTTTCCAAAATTTTGTTATATTCGCACATTTTTCATTATTATTTTAAATTTATCAGTTTTTGAAATTAAAATTATATCAGCTCATGTAACAATAGAAAAAGGTTCCAAGATCTCTCGATATTTAAAGTTCATAATTATGGTTGACAAGAGAAATTCTTAACTTTGTTAGTTTCCAAAATTGTATCATATTTGCCTGTTTTACAATGATTGTTTTAAATTTATCAGTTTTTGAAGTTCATGTTACGCCCTCTAGAAAGGGCTACTTCTCAAGGTTGTCTCAATATTTAAATCCCATAATTATGTTTAGCAAGAGTAATTCTAAGGGTTACTTTGTTGGTTTCCAAAATGTTGTTATACTCTCACGTCTTACAATGATTATTTCGAATTAAAATTATATAAGTTATATCCGATGGAAAGGGCTACTTCTTGAGGTTTTCTCAATATTTAAATTCCATAATTATGTAGCAAAAGTAATTCAAAAAGTTACTTTGTTGGTTTCCAAAATTGCATTATCCTAGAATCAGTTTTCAAGTTTATGAAATTGAATTATATAATCCCATGTCAGGTCCTTTGGCTTCTTCTCAAGCCTCTCACAAGTTAAATCCCAATAATTTTGTGGCGGTAAATTGAACAGAGTAGAGTAGTTCAAAGAAATTGTCTTTGATAGAAGGCAGAATTGATCAAAAAGAAGCCAGATTGATACTTGAGACTGTAAGAAGTAGATAAATCGAATTTTGTATTGATAAATGAATGTAACATGTTTTAAAGAACTTGGAATTAGATTGTCGTTATCGCTGTTTGAATTTATGTCAAGGTCTAAATCTCTTGAAGTTTTTAATCATTTTAATATCACCAATATCTACCTTGATCTAACTAACTGAATTTAGAGCACAATTTTGCTTTTTTGTTGATATTGTTGTCTCCATTGAAATCGAACAAGTTTTATACTGCAGCACTGTTCTATTGTCTAATGACTGTTTAACCAATCAAAGCGTTTCATGAAGAATCTGTTTAACATGATAACAATGACTAGTTGTGAGATTGTGCATGACAGCCTCTGTAATTTTAAAAAGTTTGTCACGTTATCAAGAAAATTGACTGCATGGCATTGATCTAGATCTAAAAACATGAGCCAATAAAACGTGGCTAAAGCTTCTTTCAGAAAATAGAAACAAACGGAAACAAATTCTAACTAAATGATTACCCTACACTCACTAAAACGTTACATTTTTCATACCAGTTAAGGTTATTTGATATAATACTGAACTGGGGCCTTATTCTTAGAGATTTAAATCAGATAAAATCCAGATTTTAAGAAATACAGTAATCTGATTGGATGATAAAACTAAATTTAAAATCAATTTTAGTGATTGACCAATCAGATGACTTTTACACTAGAATCATGTAGATTTAAGATTTCAAGAATACACAGCCCTGATTCAATTAATGGGACTAAATTTAAAATCAATTTTAATGATTAACCAATCAGATGATTTTAACACTAGAATCATCTAGATTAAGTTTTCAAGAATACACGGCCCTGCACAATTTTGAAGGGATATTCCACTTTTTTATAAAAAGTTTTCATACCTGAAAATACTTCTAAAGTATGCTATTTATATTTATGGATCTTATTGATCAAACTGAAACGGTTGCATTTTTTACGTTAAAACTTTCAGATCTCTTAAAGGGCACAATTCTGTAGATTTTGGTGTATAGTTTTCACAAATTTGAGTAAAAAGAATTTTTGAACTACAAAAAAAAGTGGAATGTCCCTTTAAAGGCAGTGAAGGTCAAGTTGATCGTTTCATTTTCGCCTCCTTCTCAATCATTAGATGTCCCTAGCTTCTAATGAGGTTGTGAATTTGGACTAAGTATTTGTATTTTATATTTTCAGGGCAGTGAAAAGGGGCTGAATGCCACGAGTAATATGGAAAGGGTAAAACGTCTGATCAGCCCTGGGACCAAAAGAAAACTAATTGGAAATAATGCTAATAAAACATTTGGAGTACCACTAGAAGATTTAATGAAGAGAGCTCCACCAGAATATAGGGTACCTCTAGTTGTTAAAAAACTCTGTGATTATATTGATAAAAACGGTAAGTTGATCTTCATTTAGTTCCCGGATACCCAACCTGTGGTGTTTTCACCCCTGGGGGTGTGAGACAAGGGTGTGAGGGGTGTGGCCAACTGGTGTAGGAAAAGAATTTATTTTGAATTGAGAGAGCACCTCACATCATCACATGCTGGAAATGTGGATGAAACAAATTTTTAGGGGGTGTCAAAGGTCCAGGTGATTGCTCCAGGGGTGTGAAGGCTGAGAAAGTTTGGGAACCACTGATTTAGTTGTATATTTTTGCTGTTATCTAACATCACATCTGTAAGATCTCTTGACATGTGTAAGTGTTGCTGTCCTATCAAAGTTTTCTCCATTGCAAACTGCATGGTGTTTATAGCCCAAACTGGATTAACAAGATCAATGCAATGTAGAGATTTAAACTGTTTTATTTCATTAGCCCCATCAGGATCAGAACAGAAAAAATCTCCAGTCGGTCGTTTTCCAACTTGTCGACAATAACGTGCTGAGCATGCAAATCAAAAGGAAAATGATTCTGATTGGATGATGAAGGTCTGTCTTGCAGACGATAAAACTATCGGAGACAATTATCAAACTTGTTTTATATTATAAATCCTGTCTGCGACACGATAATCTTTTACTCAAGATTCAAGTCAGGGACAAAAATCTCTGACCCACACCGCTCGTATGCCCTCACCTTTAGGCACAGAAAGGTAGGACTTGAAACTTCATCTTGGCTCATTCAGAGTCAGAAAACGGCATTTAGAACTCCATTTCTTTTTTATTCCACAATAATTAAACTACATCTACATAGATTAGATATGTATTATCTTTGCACCATGCTGTGTTTGTACTTAGTAATATCTCATGTTTTGACCTGACCTATTTCAGCTGTTTCTACATGTCAGATTAGTTCACATGTCTGACCTAGACCTCAGCGCTGGTATTTAGATATGTAATTGTTTATTTTCTGTGGGATGTTTTTGTGTATAGATAGTGTTAACACTGTTGAAATAGTTGTTACTCTTTTGCTAACAAGTTTTTTTGACCCAAAAATTCTGACTCCTACAGCATGTAAACATTATACCATGCCTGGTATTTTGTATTCAGAATTTGGACCAATTTGTTACAGGGCAGTATGTTACAGGGCATTAGCTGTTACATGGCATTATGTTACAGGGCATTATGATATAGGTCAGACTGAAATAAGTCTATTCAAGGGACTAATTAAACGGTTTCTATGCTTTTTTTTTTATGTCAATTTGCAACATTCTAATTTCCAGTCAAGCGTCTGTGTTTCTAGCAATTTTACAAAAACTAAGCATTTAATAACGTAACTATCGCAAAAGTTTACAGGAAACTTTTCTGAGAAAAAGAAATTGAAGTTTACGGATAAGATAAGAAGTTCTTCTGACTTGAAAGGATATATTTCAGGGTTTTATGAAGGTCAAACTGAGTTAAGGCATGGGAAGGATTGAAAAAGGAAATGACATCATTTCTGAAAAAAAAGGGAGTACTCACAGTAACATGCGACCGGATGATGAATACTATTTACTATAGAATTTGATAATTGGTTTCCAATCACAGCCGTGCGGAACCGGAAACCGGAGCACCGGATTAACGGTTACTTTTACATTATAAATATTTCGTTCCCAGTAAAATGCGTGCTGATATCGGGGGTTTCCCGATTATCGGCAACCAGATAAACGCGGCTCCACTGTATACAGTCTTTGACATTTATTTTATGATGTAAAAATGTTTCTTGGACATCCAGGTGGTTTGTGTATGATTTGGAATATTGAGTGTGAAAGGTTAACAGTGCAATTCCAGTCAATAAGCTCTATCTTTTGGCTTCTTTGCTTTCAAACTTGACAGTGCCTATCTACAGGATGACTAGGGTGAGGGGCCAGAAAAGAGACTGGTAAATTTCCCCATCACTTTCAAATTTAGTGCAAAAAATGCCCTTGAGCTTACATCAACACATCTTTGGCCCCTACTGAGCCCCCTCAGATAATGATTCAGCCCTCCCCCCCTATAGTTTGAAAAATTGCTTCTGAACCTGCATTGACCCTACTGAGGGCCTCTCACCTGATGATTCATAGAAAGTCCACCGAGACTCGATAAACACAACAGTAAGCTTCTGACTAATGCAAGTGCAAAATACTGCTGTCTGGGGAGGTGGTCTGTTGACCTTAAAATTCAGGTCATCACGTAAACACCATGTGGTCTGTGTCTGGCTTGAATAATCATTTGGAATGATTTCTGATATGTCAAGGTCATCATGACTGCAAGAGAAAGTTCTTTTGTGTGATTTTAATAAGGAAATGTCAATGAAAATCGTGTCATGTTGAATGAATGGTTGAAAATCTGAAGCCGCCTAGTGTCCTGCTGAGTGAACTCTCAAAATTTGAAAGCGTCAAGGCAACTTGGAGCTACAGTGTATGCTGAAGTCCCCTGATTTTCCCTTGATGCAAACTGATGTGTCAAAAGTTTAAAGAAGATGAAAAAACAGGTGCCATGTTTTACAAGATGTTTTGATATGTAGATACTTGAGAACATTGGGTAATTGATGTTATCTGTCTTAACAAACTCAGCCCTATAAGGAGCAGAATTTGAACTTCAATTCCTATTATTGCCTTACCAGGTAAATGGACATGCTGTCCTTGACAATTTTGCCCTCTGAGGAGCAAAAAATGCACCTCATTATGCGGTGACTTTGTGAATTAGACACTTGCCCGCTAACCTGAAGGTTCAGGGGTTCAATCCCGGCATAGGTCAGTGATGCAGGTTGGAGGAACTGACATGGAAAAATTGTCTAGTCGTTCGGATGGGACAATAAACTGAGGCCCCGTGTGCTACAGGCTGTGCACATTAAAGATCCCTTGACAGTTGGAAATCTCAAAAGAGCAGGCTGATGCTGCAAAGTTTGCCTCATTACACCCTGCCTGGCATTGCCCATCATCATTAGCCCACATGGTGCAGAAAAGTAGAACGTAAAAATCTATTTCATTTCATTTCCTGTTGTTTAGCCAAATCAAGAGCAGAAAAGCAGACATCAATTTCATTTTATTGTCAAGTCAGCTGATCAATGTCAACATGGTCCTTGAGTCATTCCAATGATTTATTACTGCTAGTTTTTCAAACGTACCAGATGTTCATCTCACAAAATACATTTATATTTTTACTTCTGTCTCTGTTATGATTCATCCTGTAGCTTAAAGAGATTCAGGGGCTGTTGGGTGTGAGCTCAGTTTGTACAATGCTTGCTCGCTAACCTGAAGGTCTCTGGGTTCAAGGTTGAGAACCAAGTCTCCTGTGTCAGTTCGGAGGGGCTGACATTGAAAAATTGTCTAGTTGTTTGGATGGTATAATAATCTGAAACCCTGTGTGCACGTATAAGATCCCTTGACAGATAGAATTGAAATTGCAAAAAAATTAGTGTCATGTGTCTAGAAGATAAAGCATGGCGCCACACTTGACATTGCTGCTCACACAAAACTGGAAGTAGAAACAAAAACCTTAGGGTCCAAACAAGAGCATTTCGTTTTAACCTATGCCCTAATATTGTGCATATATCATTATATCTTTAAGTGGCCCTTGCACTATAGTTATCACCAATTACAAGCAACTCTCATGCAACTGAGCTGTGAGTTGAAATCGGAACTCATGACCACTTTCATTATTTGCAACCATACACAACTGGTAATCTCTATTGTCTGAGGGCACCTTTACAAATTGTGTTACAATAATTCTATCTATTAAAGTAATTAAATGAATATAACAGGTTTTTGTAATATTCATGATAATGGCACATCATCAAAAGTATAATTTTTAATAACGTTTCATTATTGTTCTCATGATTTGAGCGAACTTGCTAACATGTTGTGTTATATATTATACATCTGAAATACTAATGACTTCGACATTTATAAACACCATTATTTTAGTACGAACTAGATCATTGTTGGTAAATACCAATATTTTGACATTTCTAAGAGTGCTGTCTGAAGGTCAGAACGCTGAAGCCTGCTGCCAAAAATTATGGCGGGGGAATAGCGGCTAAAAACTTACATTACATAGAAAGGTTAACGCAGAAAAATGTAAAAACATTATATTTTAAAGTGATACTACGTCTTTAAAATTCAAGAATAGTCAGTATGAGTATATATTCATCAGTCAACTTACCTGGTGTCATAAAGTTACAACAGAATCCCTGGAAAATCTAGAAAATTGTAAAATTCATAAAACTAAGTAAATTGCATATTTATGTATAATTACTAAGTTTTTTGTATTTATCAGATTATATAAGGATCCTGTTATGTTATTTATGACACCAGGTATATCTACTGGCTTTTATTCGCCAAGTTTAAAATTCTTCAATTTTATGTTAATTCTAAAACGTAGGATCACTTTAAAATATAATGTTTTTACATCCTACCTTTCTGCACCTGATTGGATTTGAACAATATTTATTTTTCTGTCTATAATATCAATTACAATACATAATATAACATGGATTCACAAATAAGAACACGCTAATGTAAATCTGTCTCTTCTGCACCTGATTGGATTAATGTCAAGCTGTGTTCAGATAGTGAAATTAGTTGCTATAGTTACTATCTTTGGGACGACCCTTTGATATCAAACATCTTAGATGACAATAGAAACTAAAAATATCAGAAAACGAAAAAGATAGGAATTTGTTGTCTAATTTGAATTAGATTGGAGCTAATGTCTTGATATGCTTAAGTCTCTTTGTAACATTTGTGTTTTTGCTGTCCCAGTTTTTATGCTAACATTATAGCTCTTTTCGCTTTTTGCTGTCTGGGACTTACTGTGGGTCCTGCTGTCAGTAGTGAGACAGGGAATCCAAACCTAAATACCAATTTGTTTTAGGGAGACATGTCAACAAGCATATGTTTTTAAGATATTTCCTTCACAGTTTTATTATTCATTTTCACAGCGTCATCAAAGTATTAATATCTTATAAAATGATCTGTTTTGAATTGTATAATGTACATTGTCTTCTTGCCATAATTTCTAGTTATTGATTAAAATAGATTAATGGGATATTGTTAAAATCTGATATAGAAGGATATTGAAATCTTGTATTAATTTAGTTTTCTTTCCTTTTTCAGAACTGAAACAATGATTAAATTTCTTTTAAAGAAATCTGTCACTGGATTATTTTAAACAATGACAGTTGTCTTTGACTAATTAATACGGCTCGTTATCGACAACAGATGATGCTAATATCTGACTAATTACTGTATCCTAATTAAAAAATGCTATTTTCAGATAATTCACAAAAAGCTTTCAGGGTCATTACCATTATTGTATTTATACATTTTCTTTTCACTTTATTTCGTGTCGTGTGTTTAGAATTAAATTATTTTTTTAATATTTTTTTTTAAATTTCTTTAAATTGTAAGCCATACGTGATTATCTAAGACTTGAATTAATTCTTCAGGCTCTGCATATTATATAAATGTTTTTTAAGACTGTGTCTAATTAAAGAGATATGACTTTCAAGCTACAAAGATGACTTTTCAGATTAAAAATCTGACTCTCGGCTTGTCTGCAATCAGATCAAAACATCAACAGAAATAATGAAATTGAAATGTAATGACAAACTAGATTCAATTTTTTTGTTTTTTTTTAAATTTTACATTTAATTGTACACAAACTATGTTGAGATTTTTTAGTTTTGTAAATCAAGGTATATCCATTGAAATATTGTATAACCTTACTATCAAATCATTGAAAATTTACAAGGAAACATCCCTTTAATGTATAACTGTATTACTAAATGTCACTCAAGGAAGATCCCTTCAATGTAGTTTATAACCTTGGTATAAAAATACAACAATAGCTTCATGTGTGATATACACTACTTAAAAACTCCAATGTATTCGCTCATTCTGGAGGCGTTTTTTTTTCTTTTCAAGATTTTTTCCAAATTTTCCATTAAGTAATTGATATATTTTTCTTGAGAAAGATTAATGTATAAAGATAGATAATATTTTGATAATTTATTATAAAATCAATATCATCCTGATTATAACAGTCACGATTTTTTTTTTTTTTGGCATCTTTGTCTATAAGATGATTAGAATTCAAACGAGTTGATTACATTGCAGTTGGACGCCGTGCAGGAAGGATGAATATTGACATCATTGAGATGATCTCTTCTAAGATGAACTTTGGAATTTTCATGAATTTTTTCAAGAAATATGTCTAGTTTTCCTAGATTTGTTTTGTTTTAATGAACTGTGTGAAGACATTTTGAAACGAAACGAGCGCAAGCGGCAAGAGATATATCAAAGATGTGGATTGTGCCGTTATTTTTAGATGGGATCACCATCTGTGATAGAGACAAATGTAAATCAGAAATTTTTGGGGATATTTGAATTATTTTCTGTTTTTGGGGATATTTGAATATTTTTGTTTTTGGGGATATTTGAATTATTTTCTGTTTTTGGGGATATTTGATTATATTTTTGTTTTTGGGGATATTTGAATTATTTTCTGTTTTTGGGGATATTTGAATATTTTTGTTTTTGGGGATATTTGATTATATTTTTGTTTTTGGGGATATTTGAATATTTTTGTTTTTGGGGATATTTGAATATTTTTGTTTTTGGGGATATTTGATTATATTTTTGTTTTTGGGGATATTTGATTATATTTTTGTTTTTGGGGATATTTGATTATATTTTTGTTTTTAGGGATATTTGATTATATTTTTTTTTATTTTGAATACATCTTATTTCAGTATTTTGATTTTCAAGATTTATGAAATTTTCAGATATTTATTAATTTGCAGAAGTCAAGTTGTTTCCTATTTCAGATTTTCCAAACACTCCAATTTCATTTCATTTTTCAAATTTACATTTAAAAATCGTAACTTTTTTAATTCCAGGTTTGGATCAGGAGGGAATTTTCAGAATCAATGGAAGTGCCAGAATCGTGGATAAAATCCGGACATCATTTGACCAGACTGGTGATGCCGATTTGGATGAGGACTGTGATGTCATGGCGATAGCAGGAGCGTTGAAATTATATCTACGAGAATTGCCAGACTCAACGGTGCCAGAACACATGACGAATCAATTCATAGCAATTCAAGAAGGTAAGAGGAATTTGAATTATTAGATTTGTCTACGAAAGTTTTAAAATGTCTGGAACACGAGCTTTTAACGAACTTCAGGTGCGAGTTAAAATAAAGAATACTCCCTCTATTGTTGTTAATGAAGATTTAGAATCTAAGAATAATTTCACATTGTTTATTATATAAGAATATCATACAGGAAGATAAGGGGAAGTAGAATTTTATTAAATTTTTACTCGGAAGTGTTGAAATATTCGACATTCAAGCTGGCAAAGATCTCCAGGTGGGAGATAAAACAAAGATTACCTCCTCTATATACACTAATTAAATCGAAAAATCTAACAATTTATACAGGAAAGTAAGGGCCTTGATTTTTAAGGTTAGTTTAATATCGAGAGTTTTGAAATTTGCCAGTTTTAAAAAAAACTGCAGCTGCGAGATAAATAATTTATATTTAAAGTTTGTTTAATGGACGTTTTGAAATATGCCAGATTAAAAATTTTTTTTATTGACAGCTGCAAGATAAACACTTTATTTTTAACCTCTCTATGAATATGTAATATTGATAAACCTAAATATAGTCAGTTAATCGGCCACTCAGTCACTTTAAAATTTGTTTTATTGTGGATAGTGACAAAAATATCAACAGATGATGGAGTGTTCATCATTTATATGTAAATTATATGTAAATTATATGTAAATGATATGTATATTTTGAAATAACCGAATCAAAAGCAAATTTTAATGTACAGTTTTCATGAGTTAATCGATTTAAACAATTGAATTTTTTTAATTGGGTTTATGTGCAAAAACATTTACGTTGTCATTCATGCGCTATGTCAAACCTTGGCCGGCGCCGTAATTTTTATTTGCTACTTTGGAAATATTTGTTTACACCTTTTATCGTACTTTTTCTCTTCTCTTTTACAATGAAGAGAAGGAATCAACTTAGAGATACATCTTCTATCGCTAAACACCTCAGTTATAGCACAGCTAGGCTCCTCCCACTCATTTATACAATGAAAAGATCAAAAGAAATTTCCGATATTATGTTATGATGAAATATATGATAAATGTGTGTACAAGGAAAGATATTGTAATAATTCTCCTTAAAGCAGAAACTGCTGCATACTTTCCTTTAAAGATGGTTTTCCTTATTTTTTAGTGTCAAATTAAGCAAACTATTAGATTAATTGGTGTTTCTAATGAATTATCATATATTCTTAGTCTTATCATTACGTTCTTATTGCATATAATTAAGAGTTTTAACCAATCATAAATATCCATGTATGAACTGTCTGGATGAACAAAAGAAAGACTTTTTGACTTTTCTTGATCGGTCACTCATTGAAATTCGGCTGGTAATTTTCTTCTAATTTAGCTAATTATGAATTAATTATGGACAAGTGAGATAAACTGATATTTTTCCTAGTCATTAGAACACCTCTTCTTTCTATTCATATAAGAATTAACTTTTCTATTTTCATGAATGAAAATAAGGGAACCCATTTATTAAGTGGCAGTGGAAGAAGGGGGAGAAGTTACTCTTAGCTCTACAGGAGTCTATTGATGTACGCTTTCTGCTGAAATTATTTTATCGATTATTTATGCTGGTAATGTGTTTGTCACGCATCTGTCTTATTGCGTAAGATTAAAATTTCATAAACAATTTGTAATATTTTATTTTAATTCCACTGATAATTATTTCTTTTGTTATTTCTTTAAAGTATTATTCTAAGATACAAACTGTTGCTTAAAAATTATCACTTTTGTTTGGTCAGAAAAATTGTGAATTTCATTGGTATTTTTTTTTTCATTTTTGTGAAAATACTCACATATTTCTGTTAATTGTTATAGTTATCAAGTAAAGATGTTTGTCCAAAAACAAACTTCAAGACTGCAACATCTGTGTATTCCTTGGTTTTTAGTTGTGATCATTGTAAACCTAAATTGTTACTTGTTATCTTTGTAAACCTAACTTGTTATCTTTGTAAACCTAAATTGTTACTTGTTATCCTTGTAAACCTAAATTGTTACTTGTTATCCTTGTAAACCTAAATTGTTATCTTTGTAAACCTAAATTGTTATCTTTGTAAACCTAAATTGTTACTTGTTATCCTTGTACAAAATTATTGTTTTTCCTCGATTCTTCATTTCTTTTTATTCTGTAATTTCCTAGTACAACCAACTTTCTAAATTACTGTTTTATAATTAAAAACTATTGTGAATCATTTGGATCAATGCCAAAAAACTTTTAATTATTTTCTTGTTCATTTTGATTTTATAATTTGTACATTCATGATAAAAGTCATTTTTAATTTCTTGGTTCACGTGACTTTTTTAATATCAAATTTTATCTTCTGATTTTTTATTTAATTACTTAAAAATAAAATCTCATTTTTAATTTCTGTTTGTGTACTTAAGCTTATTTTTTTTATCAATCTTATCTGATGGTTTTAATAATCTATTGATCGTGTAATTAAATTAATTAACTCTAGTAAACATAGACTTATAATCAGTTATTATATATAGGTTTTAATATATTCATCTACTTGACCCAGAAACTAGGCTTGATTATGAAAAAAATCTGCCAATGAATTTATATTTCTATCAGGTCTATCATACTCCTTTTATTAAATAAAAACTTTCAATATTTTTTTGTTGCAAGTCTCTGTTATGACATTTCTCACACTTAGTTTAGATTGATTTACTAGATTGATATACTTCCTCATGTTTAAAGTTCATTAGCTCCTACCAATGTTTTATGTTTTTTGTTTTGCACTTCGGATCGTCAGTACTTGGTTTATTTGTTAGTTATTAATTTTGGACAAAATCAAAATATTTGATATTTAGGTTTATTTACTCCATATGACTAATGTTTATTTGGTAGATATAGATATGATATTCATCAATATAACACTATAACACTAAAACACTATAACACTATAACACTTTAATATACACTATATATCAATAATAGTATATGATATGTAAATAAGAAATTGTCCTATATCATTACATCAATATTGTTAGTCATATTATTATGACCTGTTTCCTTATAAAATCAATAAGAATGGAATAAATAGGTTGACTGTGGTTTTACTATATCAGCTGGTAGACATGTTAATATTTACCAAAACATTGCAGTGTTATTTTCAATTCGTCGTTCATCGAATGAATGGTTTCTTCTATCAGTGATTCAGTTTTTGTTCTTGACATTTTCTTTGTAATTCGGAACAAACGTTTAGTCGTTTGGATTATATGATTAAGAGAGACACTGTGTGTTACAGGCTGTGCAGGTTAGATTTCTCTCATTGCACACTGCATTGTGTTATGTTTTCATTATCTCAATCACTTAGTACTTATACCTTGACTGCGATAGTCACTAATCTTGTATCACTGAATGCAGCGGTTTGATTGTATGCTTGCTAATTCAACCTCTAAAGAAAGCCTGTGAAGATTATGGCTTTTTGTTCACAGACTTTCTGTCGAGGCCTCTGATTGGCTGTATTCGCTTGCATACAATCCAATCATGTTTCTTCATTTACAAACTTCCCTGATACAAGAAAGGTGAATATTGCAGTCATAGAAGTACAAAGTTGGTAATAACTTGGCATTGTGAAGATGGATGGATTGGATTGGATTTTATTGGATTGGATTGGATTGGATTGGATTGGATTGGATTGGATTGGATTGGATTGGATTGGATTGGATTGGATTGGATTGGATTGGAGATTGAATGGCTTTAGCTCCATCAGTCACTAAAAGTAGGAAGTAAAACTCTATTTTGTTTCTATATTTCAGCTAATCAAGGTGATAGTGACAGTTGTGTAAAACTATTAAAACTAGCAGTTAAAGATCTACCATTAGATAATTATAATTTACTCAAGTTCCTGTGTCAGTTCCTAGTCATCGTGGCTCATCATGAATCCTGTAACAAGATGGGGTCCACATCACTCGGCATTGTATTCGGACCAAATATATTCAGGTGAGTTATCAAAGGTATAGGTTCGCCGTCCGTTTGACCAAACGTACCTTAGTCTCAGAAACAAGAATTGTTTAGCTAAGTTAGTCAGTAATAGTGTTCACAGCTCACTCTCAAAATTTGAGCCTTGAATCTGCTTTCAATGTTAAAAAGAAAACTTGTCTTTTTTTGAGACTATGCCAAATAAGGTGCAGAAATATAGTCAGGTCAGGTTCAAGATAATAGGATATAAAACACATTGGCTTTCCGAAGGTATTTCTGAAATAGGATGCTCAATACATTTCATATCCTGGATCAAAACCTAAACAGTGTTTATCTTATTGACCTGGTCTAGTAATGTAGGTGAAAATAATTTGTTTGTTTTTAAAACAAGGCTAAACAAGGAGATAATGATATTGTTGTCAGTGAAATTAAAAAATATAATGATAAGTCTGAAAATAGAGCCAGATAAGGGAGATAATTTGTATTATAAAGTTGATGGGTTTATCACGTCTTTCCTTATTTATCTTTCAACAATGTTTTTGTGTAGAAATAAAGTTGATTTACGTAACGTTAGATTAGAGACGGGGTAAGACGAAGATATATTTTGATAGTTTTATATTCTGATATCAGATTAATTGTAACATGTTGAAGTTGTTAAACAGGAACAGTCGGCATTTTCAGGGGATTGATTTGAGTCATTATTGTGCTTTAATAGTCTTAAGAAGTACTTAAACACACGAAAATCACATAATCATTTCGAATATACCTATAAATTTCACTGTCTATTTCTATATAATATGTGTGTTTTCTTTATATGGCATAGTCTCACTAAAATTCCAGTCGAATTTTTAACTTTCAAACGTGAATAATTATTGATTCACATGGATTTGAAGGCTAAAATTTCGACGATGAGCTGTGAACACTGATTATGTAAGCTAAAAAAATTCCAGTTTCTGAAACTAAGGTATGATTGGTCGAACGGATAGTGAAGGTGCTCCTTTAAGTTTTCCATGTATGTCTTTAATCCATTAGAAATCTTTCATTGACATTTTCTTCCTTGATCAAGAAGTAATATTACGGAGATCTGTTTGTGTGATTTTATACATTCTTTTTCAAAGACTCATGATACCTTGGGACCCACTCGTAATGATTTGATTAACTTGACTGAAAAATTGGGGTCAATTCGACCCAGTTACGATTGCAGACAGTTCTACTTTTTAATTTTGTGATTATGGGATCCCTGGGATTGCAATGATGGGACCCCTGTGGCGGCTGTGGTCTTCTATAAAAATTTGACCAAGTTGTAGCCAATGGTAGATCTGATAAAGTACAATGAATATGGAAATAATGACATTTATTGTAACTAAAGTTCATGTTGACATTTAATATTAGACATGATAGATTAGATCGGAAGAATATATCAGCTATATATATCTTCTCATTGTTTTTATCATCCTCTATAAGACTTTTAAATAATGTTTATTTTGAAAGATGTATTTTTTTATAATTTGTTGTTTTGTATCATCTTGTATCAACAAGTTTTTGAATGTGGTTCATTGTCTAAGATTGCTTTCTATCTTTGATATATTACTCCGACAAATTTTTGTCATAGATGATAATACAATAACATATTTTATAATACAATAATATATCTTATATTGTCCATACATTTATAACATCATTAAAAATTAGATTAGGATACTTGATGTGAAAGCGAGAAAGTTTTCGGTCATATCCGGCATATATGGGTAAATCATGATCCCTGCTAGAAACTCACATTTTTTTAGGTAAAATAAACTCAACTGATTCCAAAATTAATTTTGTTAACCTTCATCTGATATATAGTTAGTTCATCTCCAAAGTCTTTATCCTGGCCTGAAGAAGCAGTGTAAATATTCCCAAATTTGCCTCATTAAATTAAAACTGAGATTTTGACCTAGTATTATCCATATATCTATATTATATTAATGTTCTTTTTGTAGATGTGGTCAGGGATTAACTGGATTAAAGGATCAAGGAATAATCAATCAGATTACTACGAAGTTTATAATGAATTATGATAATATATTTAAATTGGATTACGAGGAATCACCTGTTTCCCTGTGGGTAAGGAACTGATTATTTTTTTATTTATTTATGTTGATTGGGCTGACTCCTGTGGTGTAACTGATAAGCTTGCCTCAACACAGCCATGTGCATAGCGTTCTCTATCTTTGTCATAAAACCCAACTTCATTTCATTATCTTCATTAGGAGAGTTAAGACTCCATTTTGTTTGTAACTGATTACGATTATGTGATTTTCATTAACTAAATCAAATCAGATGTTAAGAAGATTTTAATAGCATTAATTTTCTAATCTTCTTAGCCTTCTTAGCAATATATAATATAATACTTAGATAATCCATTCACTTATTGATTCATTCTTATATTATACAATGTTGCCACAAGCCTAATTTTGATGTAGGGCATAGAACTGAAATATAGACTTGTTGTATGGATATTCTCATGACATTCAACTGTGATTTTGTATTAAGAGTGAAGACGTTTGTAAAAACTCCTACGTAAAGCACTGGCCAAGGTCACAAATAAAGAGATCAGAGTTATCAGAGTGTGATTTTGTGATATTTTACTAGGACTAATATAATGGTTTAAATTATGTGTTTATAAATGTTTGTCTGTATATCGTGTAGGAAAAGAGAAGACAGAAGATCCCTCCTCCACGCCCCCCTCCTCCTAAGCTAACAGTACATATTGAAGATATGAGGCCTGTACCCTCACCCCGAAAGGTACAGTAGAGTTTTACTTTTATTCAATGCCTAAATGTGGATTCATAAAAGAGGCTACCAGTCTCTAGAATCTTCTTTTTTTTTGTATAAAACTCGGTTTGTACGTACTGTGTAATTTGATTCATTTAAACTTTTTGGACAGATAAAGTTGTCAGGCACAGTAGCGTCTGACAGAGGTCAGACGGAGGTCAGATGGAGGTCAGAATGAAGGCCTGTGATAAGTCTATTTTGAAGTGAAAATCGAGTCGTCTAAATGCTCAAAATTTAGCTCAGGCCATCTGAAATCTCTTGGCTTCTAGGAGGCCTCTGACAGCCTCCTGGTCCTCAAGGCCTTGGCCCTTTGGACACCTTTTGGAACTCCTTCTGAGGCCCTGGGCGCGCATATTTGTCTGTCCTGTGACAATCTTTTTGCAAACGATATGAAAGTTTTTTAAATGTCTGTTGCCATGTTTATGTATTTAAAATTTAATTTCCAGATTAAAGATTATGAAAGCGCCAACTATCAGGATGATTGGAGTGATGACTTTATACCAACCATTAATAATATACCAGCTAGTCCTAGAGCTAATTATAGTGATGATGAATTTACTGGTCGAGCATCACCCTTCGGTCTTGATAGGTTCGTTATTTTCATTATTGTTTTACATCACACGATGGTATGATCGCATAATTAGCGTACATACTGAATAACAGGCCTAAAGCTGCAGGGGGTCAATGCCCTCAACCGTCCCCTCCCCCCTGAATTCTGGCAACCTACCTATTCCATTCTGGTAACTTAACACTATACCCCATTTCCCCTCCTGAAATATTACTCTCCCCTCCCAGCAATCTGGCTACAGGTCTGTTAAATATACAATTTTATTCATGCACTTTCCTGTTTTTTTTTTAAAACAAACATGATAATAACTACTTTACCTTTCATATTGTAATACCAGAACAATGATCATGCGTTATTTTTCATTTTTAAGTACATCTTGCTTTTACTTTTTTTATTTTGATACATTTGCCAAGTTCACAATGACAGTTTTTTTTTTAAAGTTAAGATATAAAAATGACTAAGAAAGGGTACACATGGTTGATAGAAACCCCTTGGATTAACCTTGAAACATAATTTACGTTTATAATGTATGTTCAGTGATGCAAAGATTTTTAAATGATTAAGTTATGTGAGCATTTATGATTTGAAATTGAGACTGTAAAGTTATTCATAAAAGATTTTCATGTTTTATTGTATTATATTTCTAGTGAAGGCTACAGTATGATAGAATCACCAGTGGTCACTGCCAGAACTTCAAAGTAAGCTTTCAGTTTCCCTTAATCTACCAATTTTAAATATAGGATATCTAGATATCCTAGGGTTTTAAGGTCACTGTATCTAGGATATCCTAGAGTTTTAAGGTCACTATATCTAGGATATCTTAGCACTAAGATCATTTCGAGAATACATGACCCATTTTTATGTGCTTTTAAGTTTAGTAATTTACTTATGTCATGTCATGCAATGCCATTTTCTTATGCCATGTCATGCAATGCCATTTTCTTATGCCATGCAATACCCTCCCTGTCTTCTGGGGGTTTTAGGGGCTAGCTGGAATGACTCAGCGAATTAAGGGTTGACATAGAAATATATGACACCATGAGAAACTAAGCGACTTAATATGGTTGATATGGAAACGTTTTTATGTTTGAAAAATATATGGAGGCCTATTTTATTCTACAGTCTGTGCGTGTCAAAGATCCCCTAACAGAAGGGTAGGCTTTTGGGAAAAACCAATATTCACTACAAAAAATTGATAAAAATTGATATATTAGGCCTTTGAGAAACTGGACTTATTGAAGTTGAAACACACTTCTCATTTAAATTTCAAGTGCGTTTTTTTGTGATAAAAATAACGTCAATGGTATGACACAGTCAGTGACCTAGTATAGTATTTATCAAATAATAATTGTTGTTTAATGAACCTATTACTGACCTGAATCAAGTCAAACAGAAGTTATTATAAATATTGGACTGGTAATAAAAACATAGTTATAATAATAACTTCACATTGTATATTTCTGTTATATTGTTTATATGTCACTTACATCAGCCTCTCTTTCAAAAACTGTTCACAATGGGATTCTGCCAATAGAATTCTTATAGAATTAAAATACGATTACAAAATCAAATTAATATTGATATTACTTATTAAAAATGATAAACATAAACCATGTTAGAAAGGGTGTGAAGTTGACAAACTTAAATACCCAAAATAAACTATATTAACTATGTGGTCATTCTGAAAGGGATGCCAAATAAAAAAACTGAAATTCCAGTTGTCTAGTTGACAAATTCAAACACTAAATATAAACATTATTATTATTATTTTAAAAAATGTTTTAAAAACTTTAACTCAAGTTGCCAATTTAGTTGTTCGGTAAATGACAAGTTAACGTCAGCTTTCAGCAGATGCTGATATCATAGATTTTTGGGAAATATTTTCAGGTATTGCATTTAAACAGAGCGAGATTTTCTCAGTTCTTCTCCCAATTTTGAGCCCCTGCATCAATGGTTTCCAACCTTTCTCAGCCTTCACACCCCTAGAGCAATGTCCGGGACCTTTCACACCCCAAAAATTTGTTTCATCCACATTTCCAGCATGTGATGATGTGAGGTGCTCTCTCAATTCAAAATAATTTCTTCTCTTACACCAGTTGGCCACACCCCTGACACCCTAGTCCCACACCCCTGACACCCTAGTCCCACACCCCCAGGGGGTGAAAACACCCCAGGTTGGGAACCATGGCCTTACATCATTGTTGATTTTTGAACATAACCAATGACTGTTGTATTTTAACAGGGCTGTGGACCGAGCTATCAGTGATACAGTGACAGGTCTGATATTTGGTGATGATGATTTTAGTGTTAGTCCAGATAAAGACACGTCATCCATTGGTACAGAATCAGGTGAGAATATATTATTAATAGGGGCCTTATTGGCCTTACCAGGGGTTTTGAAAATAGTATATCATTAGGGGTGTTGTAGGGGAAATAGCTCCCTCGCTTGTATCACATTGAAAAGATTTGATAGGATTGTACGCTACCAATTTACAGCCAATGAGAGCTCTTGACAGAAAGTCTGTAAACAATAAGCCATAATGTTTACAGTCTTTCTGATGAGGGCTTGACATTGTGAAGATTTGTAATAGCTTGACATTGTGAAGATTTGTAATAGCTTGACATTGTGAAGATTTGTAATGGCTTGACATTGTGAAGATTTGTAATAGCTTGACATTGCGAAGATGTAGTTTGTAATAGCTTGACATTGTGAAGATGTAGTTTGTAATGGCTTGACATTGTGAAGATGAAGTTTGTAATAGCTTGACATTGTGAAGATGAAGTTTGTAATGGCTTGACATTGTGAAGATTTGTAATAGCTTGACATTGCGAAGATTGGTAATAGCTTGACATTGTGAAGATTGGTAATAGCTTGACATTGTGAAGATTTGTAATAGCTTGACATTGTGAAGATTTGTAATAGCTTGACATTGCGAAGATTGGCAATAGCTTGACATTGTGAAGATTGGTAATAGCTTGACATTGTGAAGATTTGTAATAGCTTGACATTGTGAAGATGAAGTTTGTAATAGCTTGACATTGTGAAGATGAAGTTTGTAATAGCTTGACATTGTGAAGATTGGTAATGGCTTGACATTGTGAAGATTTGTAATAGCTTGACATTGCGAAGATGAAGTTTGTAATAGCTTGACATTGTGACGATGTAGTTTGTAATAGCTTGACATTGTGAAGATTAGTAATAGCTTGACATTGTGAAGATTAGTAATAGCTTGACATTGTGAAGATTAGTAATAGCTTGACATTGTGAAGATGTAGTTTGTAATAGCTTGACATTGTGAAGATTAGTAATAGCTTGACATTGTGAAGATGTTGTAGGTAATAGCTTGACATTGTGAAGATTAGTAATAGCTTGACATTGTGAAGATTTGTAATAGCTTGACATTGTGAAGATTTGTAATAGCTTGACATTGCGAAGATTGGCAATAGCTTGACATTGTGAAGATTGGTAATAGCTTGACATTGTGAAGATGACTAAATAAACATAGTAATATTAGTCCACTCCCATGTTTTCAAACCAGCTGTTATGAAAGTAAATTCTAGCGACATCTGTTGCCATATGAACGAGTCAACTTCATACCTTTACTATACATAGAATCCAATTAAAGTAACCTTTCCACATATAATTATTTTATACAAAATGTTTGAGTTCAAACTTCATTTGACTTGGTGCTGTCAAAAAAGTGTTTTAGCCGAAATAAACGAGTCAATTTTACAAGAAATCCGGTCATTTGATTGGTCAATCACTCAAATAGATTTAAAGTCAAGTTCTGAAAGCCAATCAGTTTGCTGTATAACTTAGAATTCTTGATTTTATCTTTGTAAAAGAGGACTTTGATCTCTCTTTAGTTTCATAGATTGTCCCCAAAATAGTGGAAGTGGAATAGTATTTTTACTTCCATATACTGGTATTTTTCTAAACGTTTTTGGTTTTATCAATTCTAAGTGTAACAGCTCTTTTAATCAATTATTTCAAAATTGAACTGTGTTAGTTAATAACAAGGTAAAATTAATGTCATTAAAGAAATAAAGTGGAAGAGCTCCTTTAATGTCACCGATTTGAATATCAAAATGATGGATTTAATAACGTCAGCATAAATTATGAGAATTGCTATGGAATTAAAATAAGATGAATTGTTATATCAATGATACAGCTGTAACATATGGCACATGTTTTCACCTTGCTCAGATATAGGCTGGTCTCGACAGTTATTTATAACAATTATGTAAGATAATTTCATCAGAACTGTGATATACTGCAATTTCCTAGAAAATTTCATTCAGAGATGGTTTATATTTCAGAAATATTCTCGCAAGCAGGACATTCTTACACAGAAAAAGATGATTGGTAAGATTTGTATTTATTTATCTATTTGGTTGATTTATTTGTCCAATTGATTTATCCACTCATTCATTCATTCATTCATTCATTCATTCTTTCATTTATTCATTCATTCACACATGTCATACAGTCTATACTTGATGACATGTCGTTTACCATTAAAACTGTCAAACTCTTTTCATTAATGAATTTATTCATTCTGTCTAGTCTAGTCTAGTCTGGATGACAGGTCACTCAGTACAAAATGATGTCATTACTCTTTTTTCAAAAGATACAGAAAATTATTTCATTTTATAGGCAGGTTTGGAAAAATTCTGGGTAAAGCACTTGTATTTTTTGGCGCCTGATAAATCATTACTTAACCCTTACCATTGATAGCATATTAACTTTGATTCATATAAACTTAGTCATTTGTCATTATTCAGTGCTAAAAAATATATTCATTATTATCAATTGTACTGTAGAGAGAGTCAATGCAGAATGGTTTAGTCAATGACCAGTTGGTAGAAAGGATCCTTGTGAACCTTAGTTATTATCCTTTAAAAAATATGGTTGTAAAAGGTTATCCTTTAAACATGATTCTTTTTTTCTCTCTTAATGTTACTCTATGGATGTGTATTAACATTATGAAAGCCATGAGGGAAAACAAATTCTTATATTTTCTGTGACTTTTTTTTCAGTGAGTCCCATGGTCCTAGTATTCAGATCTGTGATTTGATTAATAGATTTGAGAACTCAGAAGATATTGATGGTGAAGGTGACGTCACGTTTGCCAGTAAACCAAAACAACGACCCAGTTCTACAGCTTTTGATTTCTTTGAAAGTAAAGGTGTTCTTATTGCTCAGGTAAGTTGTAATACTTTATTTGTATATTTACGCCAGGGCTGGGGTGCAGCGTTGTTGCTAATGAGAAATTTTGCGAGACGATCTGAAGGTTTGCATGTCTGAATCAGAAGACAGAGGCCATTAAATTATTAGTCACACCTATCAAGCGAATTAATATGAAGATCTAGATGTTTTATTTCATGTATTTTATGGGCTTATCTACACTGGTCATCCATCAGAAAAAATATGAAGCAATACCATCCATTTTAATCAAATTGAACCTCTACATCTAACTTTTTAAGAGTTCTACTTCTTCAAACTATTTATTTCTTTAAAAAAGAAAAAAATAATAATTATTCAGAAGTGGCTCAAGATAGGACAAGATAGTTTATTTTATATTAAGTACAAAGTAATAAATACTACAGACTAATAAAACTCTTCTCTATTGTTTGTTTATATTTATATTAAACTTATATACGTAGAAAATTGCATTTATTTTGTTCAAAGTCTAAGTGCATCAAGACAAGTGCTCATCAAATCTTTCAAAGAAAATTAAATGACTACATAAAGTGACAATACACATACAAATCCAGTTTGAATTCCTTTAAAGACAAGAGATATGTTGTTTCTTATCAAGAACTAAACAATAAATATCATTGACCAATAAATCTCTTCACTGATCTGGTGTTATACAATGTTTGTTTGTACTGTTAAGATGTATTACATGTTAAGTCATAAAAAATTATATTTATTATGTTCAAATGCCAAGTACACCAAGACAAGTGGTCTGTAAATCAGAGAAAATCAGAAAACAATGCACATATATCTATATTGAATTTCTTTCGTGAGGTAATAGATTTCTTCTCTGGTATCATGTGATACAATGTTTGTCTATTTCTTGAAGTTTGAATGCCAATTTCACCTAGATGAATAAAGTTTGGAATCTTTCCACGAAAATTAGTTTACCATTTAAGGTGACACATCACATATTTTGCAAAAGTTATCATATTCTTTAAGCGGACTTAAATAGAACAGATTTTATTTTCATTTTCCTGTTTAGCACACACACTATACCTATTAAAATTAAAAAAAGAAAATGATAAAAGATGAAAAAGTAATCAACATTTTTAGCAAAATTGGGCTGAAAAATATTACTAGATGTCATGCTGCTTTCAAAGTCATGTGACATTTAGTCAAGGTCATGTCGAACAAAAACTTTGTAACTATTATTAACTCTAGGTTTATTATAAAGCAATATTACCCGGATCTGATGTTAGATTAAAAATATTCTGAATACCTTTTATTATTCACGTGTAAATAATCATTTCTCTGCTTCAAATATTTACCTTTATGTCCGTGAGTTGTTACCTATTGTAAACCGAAATTTATTCATGAATTTAACGAAGCGTACGTCATGAAAGGCATTGCAGAGTTTTTAACCAGTGTTACCCCACTTAATTTTCAACAGATAAATGAATTAGTGCATTCTGTCCTAGTGTACGCTGATCTACATATTTCATGTCGTTGAAACAAGCGCTGCACTTTCAGCTTAATCAATAGACATAGTCGAATAATTATATAAATACCATCACACACCATGACAAACCTAAACACTGAATAAACATCATTAGCTATGTGGACTCTCTGAAAGGAATGATGAGTTCACATACCTAAATGGCAAATAAACATCATTAGCTATGTGGACTCTCTGAAAGGGATGATGAGTTCACATACCTAAATGGCAAATAAACATTATTAGCTATGTGTACTCTCTGAAAGGGATGATGAGTTGACATACCTAAATACCAAATGAACATTATTAGCTATGTGTACTCTCTGAAAGGGATGATGAGTTGATTGACATACCTAAATACCAAATGAACATTATTAGCTATGTGTACTCTTTGAAAGGGATGATGAGTTGATTGACAAACCTAAATACCAAATAAACATTATTAGCTATGTGGACTCTCTGAAAGGGATGATGAGTTGATTGACAAACCTAAATACAAAATAAACATCATTAGCTATGTGGACTCTCTGAAAGGGATGATGAGTTCACATACCTAAATGGCAAATAAACATTATTAGCTATGTGTACTCTCTGAAAGGGATGATGAGTTGATTGACAAACCTAAATACCAAATAAACATTATTAGCTATGTGGACTCTCTGAAAGGGATGATGAGTTGATTGACAAACCTAAATACAAAATAAACATCATTAGCTATGTGGACTCTCTGAAAGGGATGATGAGTTCACATACCTAAATGGCAAATAAACATTAGTAGCTATGTGTACTCTCTGAAAGGGATGATGAGTTGATTGACAAACCTAAATACCAAATAAACATTATTAGCTATGTGGACTCTCTGAAAGGGATGATGAGTTGATTGACAAACCTAAATACAAAATAAACATCATTAGCTATGTGGACTCTCTGAAAGGGATGATGAGTTCACATAGCTAAATGGCAAATAAACATTATTAGCTATGTGGACTCTCTGAAATGGATGCTGAGTTCACATACCTAAATGGCAAATAAACATTATTAGCTATGTGTACTCTCTGAAAGGGATGATGAGTTGATTGACAAACCTAAATGGCAAATAAACATTATTAGCTATGTGGACTCTCTGAAAGGGATGATGAGTTCATATAGCTAAATGGCAAATAAACATCATTAGCTATGTGGACTCTCTGAAAGGGATGATGAGTTCACATAGCTAAATGGCAAATAAACATCATTAGCTATGTGGACTCTCTGAAAGGGATGATGAGTTCACATAGCTAAATGGCAAATAAACATCATTAGCTATGTGGACTCTCTGAAAGGGATGATGAGTTCACATAGCTAAATGGCAAATAAACATTATTAGCTATGTGGACTCTCTGAAAGAGATGATGTGTTCACATACCTAAATGGCAAATAAACATTATTAGCTATGTGGACTCTCTGAAAGAGATGATGAGTT